CTTCAGATGGATATTGATAATGTACATATTGTAGGAAGGGTTGTTAGGTGAAGAGGTGATCTGGAAGAAAATGAATGCAATTAGAGCGATAGTTGGTTACAAGGCTCCGAAAAGAGATTCGTATGTTGAGGAGCTCAAGGCTTTATATTTATTCACAGGAATTGAGCCACCTTCTGATTCGGCCGAGTTCCACCATAAGCTGTCCTTTCTTATGTCTGTAATTGGTTTGAAATAGTCACTAACTATTTTCTGTAGTGGCTATGCAAATGGCTTTTGCTCATCTGTTGTTGTTTGTTTGTTTTATCAATTTGACTAAGAATAGGGACTTATATGTTTATCCGACTGCATTGTTCGTTTGATGCTCTGTTCAGTTGAAATGATCTTATGATCCTTCCCAGTATCCTAAGCCTTCCGAAGAAGTTAGTTCTGTTTTTAGTATTTAGTTTTATGTGTTTATGATTATGCCAATGACAAATTTTGAGTAGTGTAGCAACTGTGTGAATGACTTTGAACACAAGCATTTGAGTTTGTGTCAATGGTATTTTGAAGAACTCCAGCAATTTTGATGACAAGCTGAAGGAGACGTTGGGTATAAGACACCAATATATGTAGGATTGTAAAGGTCCAGGTAGGATTGTGAGATTCTAAGCATCTGGAGAACATCTGGAGAACATAGAAAATAATAATTTTTAATTTATTTTTCTATTAACAAAAAATTTATGTTGTAGTATAGTTGACTTAACAATATAATTGATGAATTTATAAATTATAAATATATAACTAGAATTCCACAGTTAAAAAGGATATAAAAAATATATTTTGAAGTTAGAGAAAAAAAATTGTTGTTATCAAGATTAAAAAATAGAATTATAGGGTAAAATTTTAAACTTTGATAATGATCATATTTCCTTCAGTTGTGATACTGCGTTTATGTTATAACTTTAATAAAGTTATGAGCTAAATTTATATCTATATCTCTATCTATATAATAAGAGTTACTATTTACCAAAAATAGTAGCAAAAAAATAGGTCAGAATTTAATGCAGCCTATAAATAGTAAGTTTTATTATTTTTCTTATTTTTTTCTTTAAAAATCATATAACATTAAATGCTATCTTGAATTTCGGGCTTTAGTTCATTTTATTCTTCAAAAAATCCGGCGAAGATTATTAAGTGTGTATGTTTTTTATTTTTATTTTTTTCTTAGAAACAACGAATAACATTAAAATCTCGGTCTCTATATTTATAAAATCTCAATTAAAAATATAACAAAAGTTTTAGAATCTCGGACTTTATATTTGTGCCTTTAAAAAAAATATTGAAGGCTAAAAATATTCTTTAAATTGCATATAATCAATCAATTAGTCTTAATTTTTTTAAAAATTATTATGTTTATTTTTAATTAATATGCATAAAGTAAAAATAATTAATTCATCTTTAGATATATAATTTATAATCTTAATATACTATCATTTGGTGTAGGCATTTATTATATGAATCATAAAATATTTATTCATAAAATTAAATATATTTAAAGAAAATAAGAAAATTTCTTTAGATCAATCGGGTGATTGAATTAGGGTACTACCCAGGTTGATTGAATACTTTTAGGTGATATTTAAAATAGTAAAAAAACTTGACACAACTTGGTTGGTCTCAAGTGACTAAGTTATATATCAGTTCGACCACACCAAATCGATTATTGAACCTAAATATAAATTTTGAAAATATTTTATTATGTGAATGTGATATAGTCCAAACTTCAAATAATCGTATTAACAATACATTTATGACAACATGTTTATTGATTTATGAATATTTATATATCATTTTATTAATATTTATGTGAATTAAATAATATTTTATTATAATATTTATTAATGTACAGTAAATATAAGGTTTTAAGAATTGGACCATCATTGAAACGATCAACCTATTTTATTAAATCATTTGTGGTTTATTCAGATTTTAATTTATAAACATTTTAATATATATATATATATATATAGTACTTTCTGTAATAAATTTAAATAAAATTTGTTACTTAGATATCTAAACAGTTTATAAATTCAAATGTTTAAAATAATTGATAAATAATTTATAAATTACTATTTTATTTAAATATGTAATTTTATTTAAAATAGTTTTAAATATAACAAAATTTATTTAGAAAATCGTATCGATCATACCAGTCCAACCGACTAGTGTTGACGGATTCGAGAGAAACTATTTTATTCAAGCCAACTAGATTGGTTATAAACCGGTTCTCAGTCCATCTGGTCGGACTGTGTCCAACCCGGTTTAATTTAAAAACAATGGATAAATCATGATTAATGTTATTTATATATTTAATTTATAATACAATTGTAATATTGTTTTCCCGTGCATCGCACAGGCCACGCACTAGTTGAATTATAATTGGTTGAGTTGAAATTAGTTTATTATGTATCTTTCTTTCTTTTAATTTTATTTTCTAAATAGGAGGCGGCATTAAAATTATGAAAATATTCTCACAATTTTTGTTCGATACCTTAGGCATATATTTTGGGATGGAGCCCTATGTCCAAACTATTAAATAAATATGGATCTGCCCCTAATTCCAACAGAATATTTTTGTTAATTTTCACTGAAAAATTCAACAGGAGTAATAATTGTCGTTAAATTCTGTTGTATAATATTTTCATTGAAATTTTATCATTTTCTTGTAGTAAAAGTAGGACTCCAAATCAATAAAAAAAATTCGCATTATATATAACATTGTTTGCAGGCAATTCTTATGAAAGTTGTTGATAATGATACAAAATTATCATTTGATTCATGATAATTAGTAAATTTTTCAAAACAAACAAAATACATCTAGATTGAAAAGTCCTTAATTATTTTATTAGAATTATAATAATTAAACAAAGGACAAGAATGATTTTTTACATAATAAAAAGGTAAGACTATACAATGAGAGAGCAATTGAATCCGTAAGTCAAAAAAGTAATAAATTTAATTAATGCCTTACATCAATTCGAGTTGTCAAATGATAAATATAAAACACACTTAAGATGCACATTTATAAAAACATATTTTTTTTTTTTTAATTAAAAGTCGGTATGTTAGTCTTAATTTTTTTAATTAAGAAATTAATTACTTTCTACCATTATTTTTTTTTTTAATTTTGAAATACTTAATATTTGTTTATTTGCATTGTTACCCTTTTAGATGTAGAAAGAGAGTAATGTACAGTTTTATACATTAATGATGGAAAAAAATTAGCAATTTTAATGACACGGTTGTTTATTTCACACAGATATTCATTGTTAGTAGAAATACTTTTGTAAAGATCATACTAAGAAGTTTGCAATACTATTGATGTATTAAACTCTAGGGTATGAATGTTTCTTATGATTGAGAACGTCAAAATTAAAATCAAAGAGAATTGCTCTTTAATATCTACCATAAATAAATAAAAGAACTAATACATGCATCTATAATATACATTAGATACTTATTTAGTTAGTTAATATTTTTTTTATTAACGACTTACTTTTCATATATTTTTGTTGGGGTTGTAATATTTTATTTTATTTTTTTATATTAGGACATCATTATGTTATTTTTGAAAAAAAAAATACATTAAAAACTCATTTGTTCTACATTTTATTTCGTTCCTGCAATGATATGTTTAATAAATTAATTATTTTTTTCTTTTTAAACTTAATCGAAACTTTATTACTAAGAGGAATATTAAACAACAAAAACAATAAAAAGAAAAACTATAAATCATTTGATGAAGTAACATAAAACAAAACAAGTCATGGAAGTCTTGTGTGTGTAGAAATTTTTACAAATTTATGACTTAACAAAACACATAGCATTAAAGCATAGAAGTCTTTTGTACGTACGTAGAAAGTCTTTGAAAGGAGAGATAAATATTGTTTTATCCTGTATTTTTCTACCAGACAAGAGGAATGTTAAAAGTATGTTACGGCTATTTTCATTTTCCCTTGATGAAACAAAGAGAATCATTTGAAGGATTTGAGTAGATTTTGTGACATCCCAATAATGGCAGCATCAGCTCCGCAGGTTACATGATTCATCAACAGACACATTAAACATAGTTTAATTAAAAAATTATTGCTGATAGCCTGTTTCCTCTCTGCAAGAAGATTTTGTTCAACGCTTTTATTAAATCATAAAATTAATGCTTATATAATATAATTAATAACACGTGGAGTGTAGAATACAGAAAATTCTTCGAGATCTCACTCAGTGACCAACCAGAGCTACAACAGTTGTAATTAATTATTTAGGAAAGCATTTAAAATAATTTGCAAATTAAATGTAGCACTGTTTATTCTCGCATTAATTACATATTAATTTCAACAGACATGGAACAAGGGTTCTTTTTTGCCCCCCAAAAGCAGTCAAATGAGGAATAAAGGTGGAGTCCAAATTTCAGTTCGGGGTATTGTCCTTTTGGACTATATGTAACACATCTCAACGTAAAATCAAAATTTAAAGACAAGTGTTCCAATAGTATGTGAAAAATCAAACTAAAACCAATTACAAATCCTATGGCTATGTGTATTGTTAATTAGTGCATGAGCTAATTAATATTACGATGATTAATTAGCCGTTTGTGGTTTAATTAATTAGCATTCGAAGTTTAATTAATTATTCAGAGGCTAATTAATTTCAATCACGCAATTAAAATTTGTTAATCATCATTCCCTTCCATTAACACGAAACTGTAACAAGTACATCATGTTTTTTTTTTTCCCCAAACTTGGTGCCAAAATGCTCACCTTATGAGACATGTAACCCAATAAAATAAATCCACATACACCAAATTCAAATTAGTTGAACAACTAATAAAAAACATAAACACACTTTAATTTAGGGAAATTTTCAAAGTGAAAGTCTGAGCTCCAAATCTATGTCTTGTGAGCTACTGCATTCCGAGTTGCCATCACCCGAACCCATCCAGTCCATAAACTCTTTCTTGTTCTTGTTGCCCTAGACAAACCCAATTAAGCATTAACAAATTAAGTTAGACAGACAAAAATAAATGTATAACATAGTTTGAACATGATCATTTACCTGAATTATAGAAAATCTGTTTACTAAAAGATTACCTGGATTCCAGGGTCGAAAAAAGACCTAGTCATGCTTGGCTCGACAAAGTATTGTTGAGTTCTGAAGCCCCCATTGCCCCATCTGCATAATTATTATCCCAAAAAATATTCAATGTGTAAGAATGATCTAAATCCAATGTTAAATTTCAAAGATATATAAATTTTTTTTATATTTATGTAAACTTTACCTAGCAATGTTGCTCGGTTGTGAATCTCCATATGGGATGTTCGACCTATCTATCTCCGGCAACCCCATCTGAAACAATTAAA